CTAATACGCTAACCGTTATCCAAAACAATAAATAACAATAATTTAAACCAAAACAAGGTAAAGAAGTGCGGAAATTTATAACCAATCTAAACACTAATACACGACTACCCAAAATCTGGTGCCACAAATTACGAACCTCTAAGAGTTACTACAAATACTAGTTTAAAGGAAATACATCTGTTCTCGAAATATAAGAAAACAACGAAGCTAGGATATATGGAAGGGGACTCCAAGGTCTGCGAACGATGGCAGATCTACCTTGGGTCTCCTGATGGATTGAAGGCAGCAACCCAACTCTGATCAACAAGATCTGGTACCGAAATCTGCACAGAAAGTGCAGAGTGCAGTATCAGTACAACCGACCCCATGTACTGGTAAGTGCCGAGCCTAACCTCGGCGAAGTAGTGACGAGGCTAGGACACAACAATAACATGAACCTGTGTAGTTAAGTCATATACGAGAAAATAACAACAAACGGAAATGTAGCAGATAATAACAGGAAGGGGGAAAACATGCTGAGGGGAATATCAGATCCTGACAATAGTATAGTAAAGGAACGCTGTAAATATCATGCTTTGCACCAACGAAAGTAGTAACATAGTAACAAGTGCACGGCATCACCCTTCGTGCTTTTACTCTCATTCTCACCATATGAAATAGTAGAAACGGCACGGCATCACCCTTCGTGCATTAACTCTCTCATAACATGGCACGAAATCACTCTTTGGCATTAACACTCACAGAATATGGCACGGCATCACCCTTCGTGAATTAACACTCATAGATATGGCACAGCATCACCCTTCGTGCATTAACACTCACAGAATATGGCACGGCATCACCCTTCGTGCATTATCACTCACTCACAAAACATTAGACGGCATCACCCTTCGTGCTTTATACTCTTCCTCACCCAAACAGCAGAACAATAACAAGTCGGCAAGTGAAATCATCAATAACCAACCTCATTTCAATGTTAAATTTCACAATATAAATCTACAATTGAGTCAATACTCAACCAATATCTAATTCCAGGAAAACATGATAAGATTTGTTTAACATGAAGAATAACCAATTTAAGCATGAACAGTACGAATAAAGAATACAACAGTCACAAGTATAAGACTCACTCGTATGCTATGACTCGACGACAACGTATAGGTACTCGTCACCTCACCTATACGTTGTACTCAACCACCAAAATAAGGCAACAACACCTAATCCCTCAAGCTAAGGTTAGCCACAACACTTACCTCGATTCCACGGCCAAAATCAAGCCTCAATCACCGCTTTTCCTCTAGATTCCACCTACGAACCACTCGTATTTAGTCATAATTAACTTAATAACATCAATTATTGCTAAAGAAATCAATCTCAATACACAATTATAGGTTTCCTAACATTTTCCCCAAAAAGTAACCGATCCCGGGCCCGCTTGGTCAAAACTCGAAGTTCAGACCAAAACCCGATTACCCGTTCACCCCCGAGCCTGGATATATAATTGGTTTTGGAATTCGACCTCAATTTGAGATCTAAATCCCCAAATTCTGAAATTCCTAAGTTCTACCCAAAAATACCCAATTCACCATGAAAAACCCTAGATTCTAGGATGAAATCTTGTAAAAAGATGTAACAGATTGAAAGAAATGAGTTAAGAATCATTTACCTATGATTTGGGGAAGAACTAGCCCTTGGAAAATCGCCTCTTGAAGCTTAGGTTTTGAAAAATAGGACAATGAATGAAAAATCCCGTCTAAGTCCCCGGCCGGTCGTTTCATGAGTTACAACCCCGTTTCCCCTAGTTCTGCTTCCTTGTGTGTTGTTCAGCTGTATTTTATTATATCGTGTTGGTTTTGTTGTGTTCGGAGTGATCTTGGAGTGGAATGAGACACTTAGTCTGTTATTTGGAAGCTTAAGTTGGAAAAGTCAACCGGATGTTGACTTATGTGTAAAAATCTCGGATGTGAATTCTGATAGTTCGGATAGCTTTATTAGGTGATTTTGGACTTAGGAGCGTGTTCGGAATGTAATTTGGGGGTCCGTGGTAGATTTAGGCTTGAATTGGCGAAATTGGAAATTTGGCATTTTCTGGTCGGCAGTGGAAATCATGATATCGGGGTCGGAATGAAATTTTGAAAATTTGAGCAGGTCCGTAGTGTCATTTGTGACGTGTGTGCAAAATTTCGGGTCATTCAAACGAGGCTTGATAGGTTTTGGCATCGTTTGCGGAATTCGGAAGTTTGGAAATCCTTAGGCTTGAATCCGAGGGTGATTTTTTCGATGTTGTTTTGAGTGTTCCGAAGGTTTGTGTAAGTTTGAATGATATGTGACTTGTTGGTATGTTTGGTTGAGGTCCCCAAGGCCTCCGGTTGAATTTGGGTGGTTGACGGAAAGTTTGGCATTGAGTTAATGCAGCAGATTTTGCTGCTTCTGTCATATCCGCACCTGCAGTTTGGGGATCGCAGGTTCAAGAGGGAGGCCGCAGATGCGGACAATTTAGAACTGAGGGAAATCCGTAGGTGCGCACAAAGGACCGCACCTGCGAGACCGCAGGAGCGGGAAGTTGACCACAGAAGCGGGTTCTGGGATTTAAGTGAGGATCGCACCTGCGATTGATTTTCCGCAGGTGCGGCGTCGCAGAAGCGACTTGGAGACCGCAGATGTGGAAATCGCTGGGCAGAAAGTATATAAGTTCCCCTTCGCGAAATTTGGCCCATTCCACCATTTTTTAAGTCGGGATTGAAGTTTTTGGAGGGTTTTGAAGAGGGAATCAAGGGGAAACTTGTTGAGGTAAGACTTTTGAACTTAAGACTCGATTCTATGGTGATTTTCAGTAGATTAAGCTTGGAATTTGTTGGATTTAAGGGTGAAAATTGGGGAATTAGGGCTTGGATCTTGAGAGTTAAAATTGGTTGATTGAGGGGTCAAACGAAGTTAGATTTTTGTAAATTTTGTATGTATAGACTCGCGAGGGGATAAGGATTCTAGTGTTGTGATTTTTATCGGATTCCGAGACGAGGGCCCGGGGGTCGGGTTTTGCCAATTTCAGAAATTTTGATTTTATTTGATAATTTTCGCGTGAGCTTTTTCCTTTAGCATGTATTGATGATATGATTCTGATTTTGGATAAATTCGGGGTGATTTGAGGCCGAGTGGAGCGGCAAGGGCATCGCGGGGTAGAATTTCGTCTGGTTGGGGTAAGTAACGATTGTAAATCTAGACCTGAGGGTATGAAACCCCGAAATTTCGTACTACTTTGATAAATGAGGTGACGCACATGCTAGGTGACGGGCGTGTGGGCGTGCACCAATAGGGATTGTGACTTGGTTCGTCCCGTGGCAACTGTAGAGTATCATATTTTATAAACTCTATATGATATCTATGTGTTTTCGAAATAACTCTGTTAACTTAGGTTGAATGCCATGTTTGGGGCCTTGTGTCGTACTGTTTGGACCCTCAGGGGTATTTTACTATTATCCTCACATTGTTGTGATAGAAAGCTTTATCCTCAGACATGGTTTATACCTGTTTATTGTTTAAATCTTGTTCATCACTCTATTTTTAATATATAAAAGTATTTTGGGCTGAGTTCCCTGAGTTTGTACTTAAATGCCCGAGTGGCTTGTGAGGTTGATGAGTGAGTGAGGCTGAGGGCCGGATTGTGAGGATAGTTAGGGATCGGGCTGCACGCCGAAGCGTTATATATATATATATATATATATATATATATATATATATATATATATATGGATGGGGCTGCATGCCGCAGCGATATGTTGGATCGGGTTGCACGCCGCAGCGATATAGCGTTTCGGCTGTAGGAGCCCCTCCGGAATCTGCACACCCCTAGTGAGCGCAGTCAACTATATATTTATGGATCGGGCTGCACGCCGCTGCGGTTATTATAAGGTACCTATTGAGCGTGAGTGCTGAGTGTGAATGCTGATTGATGAGAGTTGAGTCACGAGTGACTGAGAGGCTTGCCGAGGGGCTATGTATATAGGAGTGATACTTTGCCCGAGGGGCTTGTTTTATGAAATTACTGTTTTCACTCTTCTTTTATACTGAGCCTCTATGGAAAATGTTGAACAAATGTTTTAAACAACTTTCATTGAAACTGGAGTTTTTACTAGATGTTCATAATTTAATTACTTATTTGATCTTGTTATTCCCACTGAGGCTTTTATGTTTTGAGATGTATATGATTTTAAATGCTCGTCACTGCACTCAACCTTTATTTATAATTGTTACTTAATGAATTGGCGTACTCACGTTACTTCCTGCACCTTGTGTGCAGATCCAGGTGCTAGTGCATCCGAGTGAGAGTTGTTCCTTTCTTTCAGAGCATTTCCGGAGTTAGCAAGGTAGCTGCATGGCGTCCGCAGCCCTGCCTTTCTCCTTCCTACCTTTTAGTATTTGTTTTTATCAGACTCATCTTGTATTGAGTAGACAGTATCAGATTGTATCTTTAGTGGCTCATGACTAGTGACACCGGGATCGGGCAGTGTGATGTTTTGCATATTTTCCGCTTGTTTTGAAATGTTTAAACGGAAGATTTGTGATAATATATCATCAGTAAATGAATTAAGAAAAAGACCCTTATATGTTGTAAATGTCGAATCGGCTAGCCTAGTACTGCGATAGGCCCATCACGATCGGGGTGATTTGGGGTTGTGACAATTTCAATTAGCCTGAAGGGGAAACTCATACTTATATGACTATCATCTAGATTTCTTGCTACGGAAAGAACAGACTGAAAAACAGCTGATACAGTTTTTCTTATTAAAGAATTTATGCTACTTGCAATACATTAAGTAAAAATTTCTGGACTGATAAAAGGAAGAAGCTTACTGTATCAAGAAACAAAGGCTCATCACCATTATGAAAGATGTCATTCGTGCTCTTATAAAGATCAAAATCCCATTTTTCTCCTCTTTCATGACGGCCACTAGTTATCCAGTCAACATGAAGCAAACTTGAGTCTGAGACAACTTTGAACACTTGCCTCTGAGAATATTTTGCTGTGGAGAAACAGGTGACTGGATCTGGAATTACAGCCAAAAAGGCATTGCTTCCTATTCTTGCCTACTGCATGGCATAAACAGCCACTTTTACTAAGAGTTCTAGCAACGTATCAAATGAGACAGTTGAAATGAGCCCAAAGAAAAGAACAAATAACAAAAAGAAGATAATGATATGCTCTTTAGGACTTGCTACATGTTCTCCAACAAGCCTCATTATCGGTCATCCGTTAACAAAAAAAAATAGATAGCTATATATTCTTTTTTTGATGAAGCTATATATTCTCTGTCTTGTTCCTAATTAATTGGAAGTGCTGTTGAAGAATGTCAAGACGGATACCTTTATATAATTTAGAGCCGACGATCACACCATAGTATCCTTTTCTTATGGCTGCATTTGAAAGCTGTTATGTATCCTTTTTTCATGACTTTTCATTTATAAGTCTATATCAACTTCTTAAAATACATAAGAATGTATTATGAAGGAAAGTTACCTCAAATAATTTATCATCTCGTGATCTCCCCCTATTAACTAATACAAAATCTTTCAACCTCTAGGACTCCATTATCACACAATTTCAACCTCACCGTTCTGACACCAATTTCAGGTTCTCATTTTCCTTTTCTTTTCTTTTTTCTTCTCCTTCAGCTATCTCTCCAAAACTTATCATTCGTTTACTTTTTCTGCATCATCAAGTTCAATAAAATAACTGTCAGTAAGCCTGATTTTATTTTTTGTATGCATAAAGTAGATTTTAGAATTTCTTGCCGTAAACCAGGACCAAACTTTTGGAATTGCTCCACAATGAACTAAGAAGATCTAAACCTATAAAAACACAAAGAAGAACAATTTATTACACATTTCCTCATAATTGCATTACCTCCAACACTTGTTCAGAGCTCTTCGATCCCACGGCTTTGTACACCTGCACCGGAAATTTTACTGTATCAATAAAATGTGTAACAAGCTCGGAAGCACCATGCTCAGGGGCGGAGCTAGAGTGCCGCGGGTTCGCCGAACCCAGTAACTTTGGTTCAAACCCTGTATATGTCTTTAAAAATCCATTGAATATGGATAAATTATTAATTTTAAACCCAATAACTTAAGACGATTAGAATCCCGAACCCATAAACTTGAAATCTTGGCTCCGCCTGCTAAGAACATTTATGCATGAAGAAGTAATCAACCTATCTATTTAAAAATAATCAAACTTCCAAAGACTTTAACCTTAGTAGAAGCTTGAGTGGTCAAAACAGTGGTGCAACAATCTCCAACTGTAATATCACATGCTATAGAATCTCCCTAGAAGTAAACATATACCAATGTTACATTAGCTTTAATCATATACACTAAATAAATACTATTGAAATGTGTGATCATCTCATCTAAAAGCTTAAGTTGTTAGCCAGATCACACATTCCCTCAGCTACAGGACTGATTATTTTTCTTTTTGCCAAAGCACGTGAAAATTCTTTTTGATAGTAGGTGGCGTCGAGACTCTAGCAAAGAATCTTTGTCTCTCTGATGCAGTGTTGAAATGTTTGATTATTTTATCTAAAAGCATAAGTTATTAAAGAGGGCACAATTAATTTACTTATTTATGTCTTCGACAAAATAAAACCCACAGAGCTATGTTGCGCGGACTCTCCAAAATGTAGCCGAACCCATGTCGGATCCTTCAAAAATGCACTACTTTTGGAGGATCCGACACGTATTCGGCCACATTTTCGGAGAGTCCGAGCAACATAGCCAGAATGTGAATCACCATAATGCTAGTAAGAAAATCTATTTTTTAACAGCCACAATTTCCTAAGAACAAACTTACAATCCTGGGTTCTGGGGATTGGGTAGGGGGAAGGGGAGCAGGTGACTTACAGAGACAATTCCTCCACCATAAGTGATGGTGTAAATCCAAACAGCATCTGTTTCAGAAGAACCCACCTAAAACAAACAATGAAATTGAGAAAAACAAATCAAGATTATCACTTTCAATGACAGAGGCAATTGTATTGCAGATATAGTGCATATTGAGCTAAATAGGTGTATTAAATTTCCACCAAATACCAACTTTTATAAAAGCTGGAAAATGATGTCTCAAGGGAATGGTCGTTTGGTTTATGGTCTAGTAATGCCGAATTATAATGCAGAATTGTTAATGCAGTGCAAAATAATGAAGGGAGATGATTGTTATGAAATGAACAATAATATATTGATTGTTATGTAAGGATTTACTAATTGAAGGTCTTTAGATACTTTTATTATCCAACTATTACTAACATGCCGATTCTTATCTCACATTCTATCATGTGTAAAATAATCCATAGATTTCCGTATCTGAAGGGAGCCGATAAAATTATCTCCATGTTGTGACCTGTAGTGTCGGCTGCCTATATCACACCCCTTGGATGCGACCCTTCCCCTGATACTGGGTGAATACCGAGCTGCCCTTTTAAACCAGAATTATCAATAGAGTATCGAGTGTAAAATAATCCATGATTAGTGAAGACGAGCATAAGCATACAAAGAGATAGTTGATTAACAGACCTACCTTTCTGGGGATGATGAATTTGAGGGGATACTTTGAGAAGCACTTTGTAACTGTTGACTTCCCTCCTACTTTTTCCACTATCACTTTCCCTGTTTCCATCAAAGTTCCTTTCTGCTGTTCCTCGCTCTCTGGGGGTTCCTGCGGAAAGGAAAGCAAATGATATATTTCCAGTTCAACCCCCTCTATTTTTCCTATTAGCATATGATTTGTGTATTAGATAAGATCGATCGAATTAAATATTTTCTTTTACTATTTAAGTTATCAGTATCTATTTTTTTGGTTTTCTATGAATTATATTCATTATCAATTAATCATCAACAACATATTTGGTATTGGTTGGTTATGTCTGTATACGGTCAAAATCGGTCTTATTCTAGAACGAGGCATGCCAAGACTCGACCCCATGTTATATCGGACCACGGTATGAAGTTAGATTGCCAAGCTCGAGACCCAGAGATAGATACAATTCGAGGTAGGCCAAGATTGAAACCATTCAAGATAGAGATCGAGGGAAGTTTACCGAGCCAAGTAACGGAAAGCCAAAATATCAGTGATCGGGCGAGGATCACTGCGGAAATTTCGGCACGTATCAAGAAGAGGGTGATTAATTAGCTAATCATGGGATTCTTACTATACTTAGAATTGTATCAAAGGTAGGACTCCCCTACTATATAAAAGGGGTCTGATGATTTGTAAAAAACATAAAACACGCAATACAACGCAATATACCACCTTTCTCTTGAGCTTTCACTATTCTGTTGCTATGTTCATATTTTCAGTAGAATATTCGTTTGGTTCGAGGGCGACCTAGCTCGAGGGCCAAGTAAAATCACATGTCCTTAAAGCCACGTATAAATTCAATTATTATCCCTTTTTAGGGTAAACAGTTTGGCACCCACCGTGGAGCTAAGAATAATAGTGATTGTCTGGTACTAACTTTTGTAACACACATTATTTTATACATGTTCTTGTGAGTATCTTTGATTCCATGATCAGCATGTCAAACTTTCAAGTAGCACCCACACACACAGATAATGGACTTGGTCTCCATGGAGAGAACAACAACATAGCCGCCCCAGGGAATGGAGTGCCTCCCATTGACCTCGATGGATTCCCAGTCGTAGACCCAATCGACGTCAGTTCCCATATTGTCACTAATGTGAATTTGGTAGTCGATCCTGAAAGTAGCGTCCGTAGAGACGTTCGACCAACTGATCAGAACATACGGGGCGATGAAGAAGGTGGGATAAGTCTTCGAGTGATATTCGAAATGTTGCAGACTCAATAAGCTGCAATAGCACAACTCCAAAACCAGAACCATGCACCAAGAAGGATCAATCCCGAGCCATCACAGGAAGTTGTTTGTAGGGCCGAATAGGTTCCAAAGAGATCGAATGGATGTGAATCAGGGACCGATCCCGCAATCATGAAGATGCTCGAGGAACTAACAAAGCGAATTGAATCGGGGGAGAAGAAAATTGAAGCAAATGACAAAAAGGTGGAAACCTATAATTCCAGGGTTGATCAAATTCCGGGGGCACCCCCGATTTTGAAGGGTTTGGATTTGAAGAAGTTCGTGCAAAAACCTTTCCCCCCGAGCGCAACCCCTAAACCAATTCCTAAGAAGTTCCGCATGCCAGAAATTCCCAAGTATAATGGAATGACCGAACCAAACGAGCATGTCACTTCTTACACATGCGCGATTAAAGGGAACGATCTAGAGGACGAAGAGATCGAATTTGTATTGTTGAAGAAGTTCAGGGAGACACTATCGAAGGGAGCGATGATATGGTACCATAACTTGCCACCCAACTCCATTGATTCTTTTGTTATGCTTGCAGACTCCTTCGCTAAAGCATACGCAGAGGCTATAAAGGTCGAGACTAGGAAATCGGACCTCTTTAAGGTAAAGTAGAAAGATAACGAGACGCTCAAAGAGTTTGTGTCTTGGTTCCAAACGGAATGTATGGATCTACCACCGGTCGCAGAATATTGGGCCGTTCAGGCCTTCACCCAAGGACTAAACGTACGAAGCTCGGTGGCATCACAGCAGCTAAAGCAGATCTTGATCGAATACCCAGCTGTTACCTAGGCCGATGTGCATAATCGATACCGATAAAAAATTAGGGTCGAAGGCGATCAGCTAGGGAGCCCTTCCGGGTCCGTTTATCCTATCAGGTCTATCGATAGAGTTAAAAGGGACATCGACCGAGAACCAAGCTTGATTAGGGATCGCTACCAGCCATACAATAGAGACCGGAGAAGCAACGAGCCTGGGCGCAACACTATTCGAGGTAAAAGACGAAATGATCGAGATCAGAACTCTAGGGGGCTCATAATCAAGAATGATTTCAACAGGGACGTCGGGCCCAAAGAAACACTACAACTATCAGAATATAACTTCAATGTTGATGCATCTGCCATCGTATCAGCCATTGAATGTATCAAAGATACTAGATGGCCTCGACCTCTGCAGACCGATCCAGCCCAGAGAAATCCCAATAAGATGTGCAAATATCATGGCACCCATGGCCATAGAACAGAAGATTGCAGGCAGCTAAGGGAGGAAGCAGCCCGGTTGTTCAACGAGGGGCACCTTCGGGAGTTCTTAAGCGATCGGGCCAAGAATCACTTCAAAAGCAGGTATTCAAACAGACAGAACGAGCAAGAAGAGCCACTACACGTGATTCACATGATTATTGGAGGGGTCGATATTCCTGAAGGATCGTATTAAAACGCACTAAGGTGTCGGTTACAAGGGAGAAGCGAACTCGGGATCACGTACCCAAAGGAACCTTGCCTTTCAATGACAAGGATGCAGAAGGTATTGTGCAACCACATAACAATGCACTGGTAATATCTGTACTTATGATAAGACTCAAGTTAAACGTGTTTTAATTGATCCAGGTAGATCGGCCAACATTATTCGATCAAGGGTCGTAGAACAACTCGGCCTGCAGGATCAGGTTGTGCCCCCAGCCCGAGTGCTGAACGGCTTCAACATGGCGTGTGAAACCACCAAAGGCGAAATAACTTTACTAGTGAACGTGGCTGGGACCATCCAAGATACAAAGTTCCATGTGATAGAGGGAGATATGAGGTACAATGCCCTATTCGGGAGGCCATGGATCCACAACATGAGGGCGGTGCCCTCGAACCTTCACTAGATTCTAAAGTTCCCGACGGTAGATGGAGTCAAAACATTCTACGGAGAACAACCCGCCACCAAGGAAATGTTTGCCTTCGACGAAGTAATACCGATATCGGCACTCTCATCAATGAAGGGGTCAAATTCGAAGGGAAAACAGGAAGTCAAATAGCAACCACAGACACCGGCCTCGACCCAATCAGAGAAGCAGGGGACTGACGAGGATGATGACTATGGGGTTCCTTTATCTTTCATAGTCCTTGATGATTACGATGCCACCAAGTCAATGGTCGAAGAGCTGGAACAAATCATACTGGTCGAACACCAGCCCCAACGAAAGGTATATTTGGGCACGGGGCTAGCCCCCGAGCTCAGGGGAAAACTTATTCAATTCCTTAAAACTAACATGGATTGCTTTGCTTGGTCCCATATTGATATGATAGGGATCCCACCAGAAATCACCACCCATAAGCTAATCCTGGACTCGAAGTTCTATCCGGTGAAGCAAAAAAGACGACCCCAATCCGAGGTCAAACACACTTTCATCAAAGACGAGGTAACCAAACTTCTCAAAATAGGGTCCAACCAGGAAGTAAAATATCCCGAATGGTTAGAAAACGTAGTAGTAGTCCCTAAGAAGGGGAACAAACTTAGAATGTGTGTAGATTACAAATACCTAAATATAGCATGCCCCAAGTATTCTTTTCCTTTGCCTAATATCAATTGCGTGATCGATGCCATGAACGGCCAGGAGATCCTTAGTTTTCTCGATGCTTATTTGGGGTACAACCAAATACAGATGAACCAGAAAGACCAGGAAAAGACCTCGTTCATCACTAAGTATGGGACTTACTGTTATAATGTAATGTCGTTCGGACTAAAAAATGCTTGTGCAACTTATCAACGCCTAGCAAACTAAATGTTCGAGGAACAAATAGGGAAATCTATGGAAGTTTATATTGATGACATGCTAGTTAAGTCCCCGCGAGCAGGGGATCATTTGAAGTATTTGCAAGAAACATTCGGTATACTAAAGAAATACAACATGAAGCTCAACCCAGAAAAATGAACATTCGGGGTCGGCTCTAGGAAATTTCACGCCTTCATGGTATCCAATCGAGGAATCGAGATCAACCCCGACAAAATCAAAGCTATCGAGGACATCACGGTAGTAGACAAAGTAAAGGTCATGCAGAGGTTAAGGGGGCGCATAGCCGCTGAAGAAAAGATAACTTCACATGGACCCCGAAATGCCAACAGGCCTTGGAGTAGCTTAAGCGGTACTTAGCGAGCCCGCCGCTGCTTCACACGCCGAGGGCAGATGAGCAACTTTACTTGTATCTGGTAGTATCGGAGATAGCGGTAAGTGGAGTCCTGGTCAGAGAAGAACAAGGTATGCAATTCCCTATCTATTATGTTAGTCGGATCTTAGGAGAGGCCGAAACTAGATATCCCCATCTAGAAAAATTAGCGTTTACTTTGATAAACGCCTCTAGGAAGCTAAAACCATACTTTCAATGTCATCCCATATGTGTTGTAATGACTTATCCCCTTCAACATATTTTGTATAAGCCCGAACTTTCGAGACGATTGGCCAAATGGGCCGTAGAAATCAGCGGGTACGATATTGAGTATCAACCTCTGAACAGCCATCAAGTCTCTGATCTTGGCAAACTTCATGGCTGACTTCACACCTGCCTTAGTACCCAAGGTCGAAAGAGAACTATTAGTCAACTCAGGTACATCCTCGGGAATCTGGACCCTCTTTACGGACGGTGCTTCGAACGTAAAAGGGTCCAGACTCGGCATCGTGTTATAACCACCCATAGGTAACGTGGTTAGACAATCTATTAGAACTGTAAAATTAACTAACAATGAGGCCGAATATGAGGCCATGATTGTAGGTCTCGAGCTAGCCAAATGCTTAGGAGCGGAGGTGATCGAAGCCAAATGTGACTCCCTCCTCGTTGTAAATCACGTTAACAAAACCTTTGAAGTCCGAGAAGAAAGAATGCA